TTGCTCATGAGAGCGAGCGACATTCCGCTGACAGCGGTGAGTACTCCGAGCGGTATGCTCTGGGAGTGCCTGGTGATGCCTTAGGGGCTGTCGAACGCACCAGCAGCGTTCAATCGTCTTGTGACGCAGTTGTTTAGGCCCCACCGGGCGTACGCTCAAACGTACTTTGACGATATATTCGTCCATAGTCGTGCTGAGCACGGAAAGTCAGACGTGGAAACCCACATTGATCACTTGCGAGCGGTGCTCGAGTGCATGCGCACTAATAAGTTGTATGCCAACTTGGATAAATGCGTCTTTGGCGCGGAGGAAATACCTTTCCTCGGATGCTTCATTGGGAAGCGTGGCTCAAGGACAGATCCTGCCAAAGTCAAGGCCATCGTGGACTGGCCGGTTCCCAAGAACCAAAAGGACTTACGCAAGTGGCTAGGCTTAGCCAATTACTTGCACAAGTACAGCGCAAACTACGCGGAGATGGCTCGGCCATTATCAGATCTCCTTAAGAAGGACGCACCATGGTGCTCGAACGTCGAGCATGACGGAGCCTTTGAGGCTGTGAAGGAGAGCCTTCTCCAGGCTCCGATCCTTGCGCTACCGGACCCGTATAGTCCGTTTAGCGTCGTCTGTGACGCCTCCGATTTTGCAATCGGTTGTGCTTTACTACAAGCAGACGCCGAAGGGCGTGAACGCGTGATCGCGTTTGAGTCTTTCCAGCTCAAAGCTGCAGAGAAGAACTATCCAGTTCATGACAAAGAGCTACTTGCAATGAAGTATGCTCTAGTCAAATTTAGGGTACACCTGCTAGACTCTAAGCCTTTTGTGATCTTTACTGATCATGCGTCGTTACGCACTGCGGCACAGTCGCCTCATCTCTCTCAGAAAATGGCAAGATGGCTTTCCTTCTTTGCCGAGTATAACTTCGAGGTGAAGTACAAGCCGGGGCGGCTTAATGTAGTGGCCGATGCGCTCTCGCGCAGGCCGGACTACGAGTTAGCTCATGTCACGACAGTGACGTCGTCAGTGCCTGACTTGATACGCGTAGCGTATGCACAAGACGACATGTGCGTAGCGCTGCTACGGGCTCTTGGGAGCGAAGAGTTTAAAGACCCTGACGAAAAATTGTCTGGGCGCTTACGCGCGAGGCTGCATCGATACTCGCTCGATGGCGGCCTGCTGTACTACAGCACCGACTCTGAGGATAACCCTCGTGTAGTCGTTCCTCATGATGAGGATCTCAAGTATCGAATCCTCTATGAGGTTCATGATACGCCCGTGGGCGGGCACTTAGGTCGAAAGAAGACCTACGGCTCGGTGAGCACGATGTACTGGTGGCCCAAGATGTATAAGTGGGCCGGCACCTATGTACGCACGTGTGAGACGTGTCAACGGACGAAGTCCGCGCCGAGCACGGCAGCGCCATTGGCGAGTTTGCCTGTCCCCAAGGGATGTTGGCAGTCCATGAGTATGGACTTTGTGTTTGGCCTTCCCAAGGATGAGGCTGGAAACACGGGTATAGTGGTCTTTGTAGACCGATTGAGCAAGATGGCTCATTTCGCGGCAGTGCCGGACACCATTGATGGTGAAGGTACAGCTTTGCTGTTTTTAGACCGAGTCTTTCGCGAACATGGCTTGCCTGAGGCAATTGTCTCGGATCGAGACCCGCGCTTCACCGCGAAGTTCTTGACGTCCCTCTTCAGAGTGCTCGGCACTCGTTTGGACATGTCCACAGCGGACCATCCGCAGACCGATGGTCAAACCGAACGGGTGAATCGCGTTGTGGAGGATACCCTCCGAAGCGTATGCGCTGAGGCGCCAAAACGCTGGAGCCAGATGCTCCCACTCGTTGAGTTCGCATTAAATAATGCAGTGCACGCCTCGACAGGCTACACTCCGTTCTATGTGAACGGCTTGGTTAACCCTCGCGTCCCACTGACGCCGCCACGCAGTGGCTCAGGGCTTGATGGGGGAGGGATAGCCGAGCGGCTAGCTGATGTCAGCCCTGTTGCGGTTCGCAAGCAAGTCGATGACTTTGTCTCTTTGAGACTGAGCGTAATGCGTCAAGTACGTGACGCTATGGCGGAAAGCCAAGACACGCAGAAGGAACATGCAGATGCCAAGGGTAAAAGCAATGTTGAGAGGTTTGAGGTAGGAGACCAAGTTTTATTAAACGCTAAAAACCTACCTACTCATGCAGTGTCTGCAGTCTTCAAAACGAAGTTAAGACCTCGGTTCAAAGGACCGTTTAAGGTCGTGGCCAGGAAGGGCCTAGCGTATACGCTCAACCTTCCGAAGAAGATGCGCACGCATCCGGTCTTCTATGTTGGCTTGCTTAGGCCATATCAAGACCCTGCTCAGGTGAGCGCGGAGGCGTTGGCGCCAACGGTGGCTGCCACGGACAGCTACAGGGCAGCAGGTGGTAGAGCCACGGGAGGCTGAACGACAGCAAGTGGTGGATCCACAGATGGCTGATGAACAGCATGTGGCAGAGCCACAGGTCGCGGAGCGAAGTGCTCGAGATGCAGGAGCAAGGCAAGCTGAACGTTCAGCCGAGCGACTGGACGCTCAAGGTCCGAGACTTAGTTGTGCGTTAACAGTGGTGGCTCTAACCTATCCACAAGGTGGATCATCTCTTCGAGATCGACCGATGGGCGGTGAACGTCAACGTTCGCGTCGTGGACGCCGGCGTCGTATGGACGCAGACGCCGTTCCGGCAAGTGCTGACTCTCCCCACGAGAGCCCAGCTGAGGCAAGGCCTCCTCCAGCTCTGCTCGATGAGCATGGTGAGCTCCACTTTCACGTGGAACGTCTTGTGGCGTGGCGTAGACGCCAGGGTCGTACCCAGTACTTGGTGAAGTGGAGGGGTTACCCTCACTCACAGAACTCATAGGAGTTCGAGGCTATCCTCCGGCAAGATTGCCCTAACGTCGTTGACGCTTACGACCGGGCACATCATGTGCCGAAGCGCTACCATGGCGTGCGACAGTGTCGCCAGGCGCTGGGCGCCTCCCACTAGAGTGGGGAGCGATCAGGTCAGTAGTTGAGCTCAGGCTCTAGCCAGCTCGTACGTATGAGCGGTGCTCGCAGCGGGAGCAGGAGGTGGAGAGACCTCGTAGTGTTAGGGACATGGTCCCGAAGGAAGCAGGTGCTTCGTGTTGTGCTGAACAAGGTTCAGGCACAAGCGTCTCGATAGACGCATAGTTGTTTTGAAACAACTTGCTCGATGAGCATGATCCAAATGTGGATGCGCTGTAACAGCGAAAGTGGTGTCCCGGACGGGGATCGAACCACTGGCCTTTGGCTTGACAGGCCGGAGCTCTACCATTGAGCTATAAGGGCGATGCCCGTACGTCAGTCCGAGAACGGACTACTCATGGTATGAGAGGGCTGCGCCCGGGTGGATTTGAACCACCGACCTGTGGCTTCCAAAGCCAACGCTCGACCACTGAGCTGAAAGGGCGTTGCCCTTAAGCTTGTCCATTCAAGGACAACAGTTCATGGAACGAGAGAACTGTGCCCTGGTGGGTTCTAACCACCGACCTGTGGCTTCCAAAGCCAACGCTCGACCACTGAGCTAAACGGGTGTTGCCCTTAAGCTTGTCCAAGCGTGGACAATCGTTTATGGAACGAGAGGGCTGTGCCCTGGTGAGTTCGAACCACCGACCTGTGGCTCTCAAAGCCAACGCTCAACCATTGAGCTAAAAGGGTGTTGCCCTTAGGCTTGTCCAAGCGTGAACAATCGTTCATGGAACGAGAGGGCTGTGCCCTGGTGGGTTCGAACCACCGACCTATCGCTTGTGAAGCGAGGGTTCAACCGCTGAGCTGTTGTCGACGACTCGAATGAGTCAAGAGCATTGCTCTAAGCAGTTTGCAACTCTTGGAGTAGGCGTGGAGCGCGAGCGTAGGTCTGAGACCGCTTGAGAGCAAGATGCGCGCCGCGCTTGGATCATTGGGCCGTAGGCCGACGACGAGAAGTTGGGCATCAACGATGCGTAGGCGTTTGTAACCTTACGGAGCTGTACAACGCTGGTGTGAGGTGTAGTAACCTCCGCCGTCTTAACAAGACGTGACCTCGCTGAGGAAAGTTTCGAGAACGGAATGTTCTCATCTTAGTGGGGGAGAGTGTAACGGGGTTACATGGTGTGGAACACACAGGGGTACAAAGTACCCGGAGAGTTAACAAACTCTCAGTACATAAGCTGGAGAGTTAACAAGGTCTCTCAGTACGTTGGCTGAAAGCCACACGTTATGCATTTGATTAGGTTTAACTATGCTAGATAGTTAAACAGATACATTTACCCCTAGGCGGCTTGGCCGCAATAATAGTAAATAAAACACTTCTGGTTTTGAAGCATAAAGTAAAGGTATTAGCTTTGAGCCCTGGTCTTGGGCTGTAAGTGTCCTTTGGATAAGGAACTTAATATTAGTGACTCTTTGAGTCGAACGTCTTCCTCTGACGCTAAAGCTACGGCAGCCCCGCTGCACCACGGGCTCGTAGACTAAACTTGAGACCGGGCTGCGGCGCCGTTCTGGATATGGGGAGACTCGGACGTGCTCTTGATATGCTGGTGCTGGTGATGTCGTCGACATCTTCGAGATTGGCAGCGTCAAAAGAAGTCGCTCCCATTTTGCATAGAAATCATATGCTCTTTAGTGGTCGAGCGACTGACGCTCGATTGAGATCGATCGATTAAACCAGTCGGTCTGGAAAATTTTGAGTAGAACCCACAAAATTAGACGCCATTATGACCTTTTAAATAACAGAGAAAGGCCTCCGATTTCACTAACGTGAACCACAATTTTTCATTTAATGACTTAAAATAAAAACATTCTTACGTTAGGTTTTCCTAAGAATTATAAGTGTGGTGACGAGGCGCCGCCAGTGCCTCCCCCCCCTGTGCGAAGCAGGCTCAGATACACACAAAGGTGGCGTCTTCGAAAACGCGGCTTGTATCCCACTGGGGGCCAAGAGCAGCATCTCAGACTGCTAGTATTGCTGAATTTCAAGCACTAGTCATCCCCTTTTGTGCTGTACGCAACACATAGGCCACCTCCGCAGCAAGAGGGCGACTTTGTGGACTGTGGGACATGCACAGAATGGCAAGATCTCTCACGGTTGGTGGGCATGACGCACTGATCGTCGGGCGCAATTGATCGTTAGCCACTTTTTGAAGCACAGCTACCTCTTCCAGCTTATTACCACTGGGTCCAACGGCGTCATAATATGGGAGGTTATGTGTATCAATCTCGGTCAGAAGTACCCCAAAGGAGAAAATATCTGCCCGCTGGTCATACTCGGTGCTCCCCGAGATGATCTCGGGTGCGAGCCACCTACCAGTTCCTACCCCAATCGTCATTGTTCCATCTATCGATCGGTAGCGTGTCGTGCCGAAGTCAGTCAATTTCGCATGCATTTCTGCCGAGATCAGCACATTTCGAGATTTTAGATCGCGGTGAATCAAAGGGGGGTTGAATGAATGCACGTAGACAAGCGCCTCAATCGTATCAATAGCCAGCTGAAACTTTGTAGGTGTCCAGTAATGTGGCAGATAGGAAGCCGACAGATATGTGCGCAGGTCGCCGTTCTCCATGTACTCGAATATAGCCTGAAGATCCGATTCAATACTCCAAGCTGCACCGATGAACTTGACAATGCTCGGGTGATTAAACTTTGAAACCATCTTGATTTCGTCCACAAAGTCTTGCACCCTTTCACGCGTCGCCATATCCTCACGAAGTCGCTTCGAAGCAAGAAGTTGAGCGCTGCGATAGCGGACTAGCCAAACTACACCGAACGCACCACTCCCAATCAATTTGACATCCTGGATGTCCTCAACGCTCACCTGGAGAGAGAGAAGTTCAGGATCGCGCCAAATCGACAAGTTGTCGTAATTGTCTCGAGTAGTACGCATGGTGGGGTCTGTCATAGCCATCGTCTCCGGTTTACCTCTTTATGCAAAACAAGATCGCTCCACAAATGGTGAGCAAGACAGCTCCACCAACTGCAGCAACCACAGTTATCATCGTGCTAGAGTTCGGTGTTGATCCTGATCCGCCGTCGTTCGAGCCAGATCCTGCTGAATTCGAGCTCACCATGAAGTCGCTGACACAAATGACAAGACCTTGGATGGTGCGCTGCGCTGAAGTTTCACATTTGGTCTCCTCCTGAAAATCAGTTCCAATCAGGTCGAAATCTGTGAGCCTCTCCAGGAAGTTGACTTGATCCAGCGTGAGTATAGGTGTCTTGAAGGGGTTTCCTGTTAGATACAGCGACGTCAACGATGTCATAGTAAAAATGATAGCGGGGATCTCGGTGAAGTTGTTTTCAGTAAGTGTGCTACAGTTCGTGTTTACCACCACAACGAGCGATCAGTTAGTAATGCCAGCCTAAAAGCAGCGTTGCACTTGAACTCACAGAGCAGCAAGATTAGGAAAATCGCCCTCGAAGGACGTCATTTCATTAAATGACATTCCACTGGAAGTAAAAGTCACGTGTAAGAAAACACAGATTATAAAAAATGCACCTTAACGTACAGGGTGGTGAGCTTCGAGGAACTGATGGAGGAGTTCACTTCCGTAATATAATTCAGGTTAAGATCTCTGTGTGGAGGAAAAGAGCAAAGGTAAGGCTGGTGTACGGTACAATAAGAAAATAATCCAAGAATTTTCGATTTCCATACAGCGAGGAGATCGAGGGCAGCGATAGTAGATTTGCTGGAAATTCGTGCAGCAGAGTGTTCGCGAGGTTCATATATGTTGTTGAGAATGGGAGGAGATCTCTGACGGTGCCAATCTGTCCTTTCAGATTAATTGAGAGCAACCAGACCTGGGTTACCTGCGCCTGAGAAGTTAGTAGATCTTCTGCGAGCTGCAGATTCACCACCTTGGACTTGAACACCAAGTCGAAGCTTGTGCCTCCAGCCAACACGCTGCAGTACTCACCAAGACAATGTAGTTAGCATCCCAACGAAGTAAGTTCCCACTACCGGTACTACACATCACACCCACACTTGTTTTGTAGCGGATGGCAAGTCCAGTGCATCGATACGAGCGATGATATTGTTGCTTGCCCAAGCGTAGGTGCTTGTGTTGTCTGGGATGCTTTCCATATTGGCATCGTACGAGGAGTCTTGGGCTCTAGCTTCTAGCTCCTCCTCGCTCTGGTACGTACCGTAAGTGATGAAGAAGACGAAGAGCGACTCATCCACGGGTACATCGCGGTAGATATTGTAGCACACATAGTTACAATCCCCGATCGAGTCGGCCACACAACTGTTGCAAGACGTGCTGTCCGACACATTGTAGGTCAGACACGGCTGATACGAATCGCACACGCCGCCGCAGGACGACGAGAGTGTTGAACCTTCGGCATGGCAGGTTTGCGCCGCCACTCTAGCAAATTTCAGTGTGGCAAGCAGGAGGAGCGATATCCACGCCGTCAGGAATCTCATGCGGATCAAAACGGTTGGTACGATCCAGTAACTCGGGCAGCTGTGTTTATCTTGATCGAAAAGTGTACCCAATCTGGGACTGTAGCGCCTCCGCCTACATCTCTTCAAGTGAAGTTGTGTTTTGGACTGTGCACATATTCCTTTTGCTGTTTGAGCAACGCAGCCGTTACAGTGCTTCTTTTTGGGTACACTTTTCAGTGGCTATCTGGCTTCCCCTTCAAAAGCCCCCAAGTCGTCATCTCGATGTTTTGGCGCCTAGTGTGGGGAATGTACGACGCGTGCTGGCGTACGTGGTATGCGGTGCATGTCGAGCACAAAGGTGCCTACTCACTGGGGCGTCTGCAGATGTTGCATCACTTTCTCCACCAACAAAAATCAAGAGTTGCAACAGTCCTGCTCAACCTCACTATAGCGGTAGTGACTCCTGTGCCGTGTCTCGTCATCGCTTTGCTGTCCGATGCCATTCCTCTCGCACCACCAGAAAATGGCCCGCGTGGCAATGGCATGTTCTGGGCTCGGTCCTGGTTGATCATGGGATCTTTCACCTTGGCCGTGTTGATGCCAATGCATCATCCCTGTATCGCACCAATTCCAGAACGTCGTTTATGGCTCTATCTACTATCGGCTGGAATTTCGGCAATGTACACGGGTTTTTACTTTGCAGTGGCACTAGCGATCGGGTTCCCAGTGCTTTTTTCGTATCTGACACTCAATATCGTATGGATTTCGCTTATCGTTGCTGGTCTCTGAGTATACATGGGCCCAGCATGTCGATCTAGCGCATTGGTGCGCAAACGCTTAAAACTTCACGCTATCTTTATTTACGCCGCTTCCAGTCTAGCAGTTGTCTATCCTTTGTTCTATTACGCTTTCTTGCATGCTCGAGAATATGCCAGTACACAATTCTTGCTGACATTTGCACTGCCAGTTATCAAGATGATGGAAAAGCTACTTCTTTACCACACAACAGGCCTTGCACCGGATTTACAGCCTGTCTTCATTGCCTTCAATATCGAGGTATTCAACGCACTATTCGTGTCAAGCTGCATGCGCAACGCGACCTCGGTTAGCGTGACAATGATGCTAATGGTTGCCGATTTTATGGGAGCTTGTGCAGCGCTGTACGGGCTGAGAAACATTATGCTGCGCGTGGATGAGCTGAATGGCAAGATGGGGCCTGAGGCTACCCGTGCGCGAATGATAGATATTGCCGGTTTTATTGCAAAACACCACCACCTTGATTGTCTCGTAACGCAGGAAGATAGTGTGGAATCGCGGTGCTCCAACAGCACACATGTATCTGCCGTCGCTCCGTGGGTAGACGAGAATTCATCAGACACGGGTAAAGCTGGCTGGGGTGATAATGTAAAGAATGGGAGTAACAATCTTAGCATTGTCAAAAACAGCAAACCAGCGATTGATCCGCCCCACGTCCCATCAAAGATTGCATGGGATAATAAAAAAAAATCAGCAAAGCAGAGCGCAGTAGTACCCGCTGAGATCACGTTACCGTCTCAATTTAACCGTGGACCTAGTGTTAAGGGAATGACAAGCAATTCGTTTCACATGGTCGAATTACTAACTGCCAAAGAACGACAGCAATTTATCCACGAAACTTGCCGTATCTTACGCCAAGTTGAATTTTTGCTGTTAGTCGAGTACACGGAGGTGATAGTCCCAATGGTTTATGGTAAGTAGGTATTGTGATTGTTTTACTCTCTGCTCACACACATTTTTTTCAGTCATTTATATTACCACAGTGTATCACCTTCCAAACCGAAAGTATTTTCCGTACCTCCACGAAATGTCCGAGACCGATCTTAACACTATCTGCAGCATACTGATTTATGGATCACTCCAGCTTGGTTGCACTTAAGCAACGCTTTCGGCTTGATCCGGGGACAACTTTACGCTTTGTTTTGGACAGCGAATGGAGAGTTGTGCAAGGTCAATTTGTGCTTTGGATCATTTACGTGCTGCAATCATCAATCCAGCATGTTGGTACGTGGAGAATAATTAAGAGGAGAAAAAGAGCAAGCTTTGATTTATCATCGTCCTTGCTTCACAGGCACGGACTACACGTTCCAATTCAGTTGGCTTTTTAAGTAGGCAAATTTCGTCCTATTGTATTGAACAGAGCTCGGAGAATTAAATAAAATATTGTATTGGATTTAGAAAAAAATTAATCCGTTATTCCGTATCGATAAAAACAATAATAAGTACTGCAATTATTGTCAGGAATTGGTAGGGTCAGAGCGGTGCAGTGGTTTGGGATGACCCTACCAATCCACTGCACAGGGTTCAAGTCCCACACCTGTAAGAGAAGCTGGTGGCTACCACCGGGACTTTTGTCCGGGCTTAGGGTACTCTAGCAAACAAAAAATGCGCCGGCGACGGCAGGCAGTCCACCAGCGGATATGAGTTTTGTATCTGAAAGTTTTATACCTGCTATATTTAATGATAAGACATATTATCACTAATAAGAGGTTATCCTTCTTGAGTGACTTTCATCTACTCTGCGTCTTCATCGGCCGACTCATGGAACCCCAACAGAGAAGTGAAGTCCCAGAGCTCACGGTTAGCGCGTAAGAACACCAACATCTCGAAGTTAGCTGGCAACAGGCTGGAGCGTAGAGGGTTGAGCACCAACTTGCACTGCGAGAAGAGGTGCTCACAGCGATTGCTGGTTGGAGGAACCTTTTGTAGCACGTCAATGTACTTGGTTGCAGCGGTTCGGCGAGGTCTCTTCGCTTGACGAAGCGTTTCCGTCGCGAAATCTGTTTTCTTCTTCTTGTTCGGTGCTGCTGGTTCGCGATCAGCAGGGCCAGCAAAACGAGCCACAGCTTCTTCTTCATCGGCGCTTAACGGTCGATCCGACAGCAGCTTGACAACCGCATTCTCAAAGGCCGGCGAATGGACGATTCGAGCCGATGCACTAAGGTGGTGTGCCGTCCCTGGGTACTTGGAAATGACAGCGTCGAAAAGGAGTCGCACATCGACAAGGTTACCTTCTTCGGCCTGTAGCTTGACACAGACGCTGTCTAGCGCCTCAAGCTTAGTAACAAGCTGGACAATCTGCCGATGGGTGCTTGGTCGGGGTAGGAGGTCCTCCACAGCTGTCACCATTTTGATAGCGTCCCGGATCTCCACATAGCGAGCCAGCATCTAGTAAGTGGATGACCAGCGCGTAGCGTTTGCCTTCAGCGGCTTGTACTTCGTAAACCGAGCCAGGTCCGCTGCATTGTTGGCGTGCCGCAGCTGAATACACAGCGTTTGAATTTGGTCGATCAGCGGCTTGTAGTCTTCAAGGTACCGGCCGACAGCGAGGTTGAAGCGATGACTTGCGCATCCTACGAGCGGTACTCCCATGCGCGTAGCGACGGCTTGGTTTGTAGGGCAGTTGTCAGCAACCATGAACAGGACCATACTGCGATCCTTCTTGTAGACATCCAGCACCGCATCAATCATGTCGATGTGAGCATCAGCGGCCTGGCCGTGCTCGGCAGAAGACAGCCCGAGCAAAACTTCGTGTAGCGCCCCGTCCTTCGTGAAGACACCGTAGATAGCGATGAAATGGTAGGTCCCTGAAGTCCAGCCGTCAAACATGAGGCCAAACTAATTGCCCATGTCTGCCGCAATACGCGTTCCCACCTTGCCCGCCACGTGACGCATGTACTTGACCAACGTCTTCGAAGACACTGGCTTGATTGCAGCCAGCGCACGCGTCATGGCGTCGTCCACCTCACTCAGGGGCATGTTCCGGACGAGAACCCACTCCATCCACTTGAAGATCTCCATAGTGCGCGGGTCAATGAAACCGTGTGCTTCGAGGGACTGGCCGAACGATCGCTGGCTCTCGTCGCAAGTCTTCTTGTAGCCGGGGTGGCTCGTTGCGAGGTGGTTGATGAGATTTGTGTAGCCAGTCCCCGGCGTCTGCTTGCGAGCCTTGCCGCACTGCTTGCAGGAAAACTGCCCGTTGCCGCAGTCCGTGAAGAAAAAGCTGGAGATGGCGCGAGAAGTTGACATGGCACTGGCGAAATGAGAAATGAGAGGCACGAAAGCTCAGCCTGATGCCTCCGGCAAACTCACACAAACCATTCGTTTTGATTGCATGCTTGACAACCACTACTTTACTCTCTGTTGCTTTTTACGTTGGGTAAAAATTCAATATAATTATTACGGGCACAATTGCATATTTTACGGAAAGATCAATTTGCCAATAATCCATTATTCCGTCAATACAATTGCACAGTTATTATATTATAATAATTTTTTCCGAGCCCTGGTATTGAGCCATGCGTTTATTTTCTTCATCTACAAATGTGTAGAATCTCAATTCGCTTTGTCAATTGATCTACAGTACATGTAGACATACTTTTACTCAGCTGCAAGCAGCCTGCATCTTCGATTATCGTTTTCTATTCTACACTTCTTACTAAGAATTTCTACAAAAACACTTACACTTGAAAAAAATTAAAACCAGCATCAAATTTAACCATAGTTGTGTTTTCGTGGGTGTCTGTACTGTACATGTAGAGCTCGGCATCGTATCGTACAGGTATTACTTTAATGAATACATTAGGAACAAAGGATTTATTTGTGACCGTATTCCAAAAATTGATCCTCCCTACCATTGGGATGAGTTTGAGCTTTTTCGGCGGTTGTGATACCGGTCAGAGCACATTTGTGGAAATTGATAATTTGAGACGGTGTATGCTACGATACCCGGACAAGACATACTCGCACACCAAATGACGCAAGTTGATGGGGAAATCTCTATTGTCGTCAACAAGACATAAATATCGTGAGCCGATAGCTTACGCCTTAGTCGGAATTCTCCTTGTAGCTTCGAATTGTTCATTTCAAACCGATCCACCTCACTCCACATTATTACCAGGTATTCATAATTCGTGTAGTAGGTAGTAAAAAGTGGTAATTTACCACCACCATATAGGGGTTAGCAATCACATCGAAACGATGAGCGCATGGACGTCTTCTCCTTGCAGTTTCGAGGCACCGCAAACATGTACTGAGACAAGTTATACCGCAATAGCTCGAAGTCGATTTCGATGTCGTCGATATCCATGTTGCTGTCTTCATCAGCAAGGATAAACGGGGACACCTTGTCCACTATCTCTTGGGGCTCTTCACCAGCAAGGAGGCGGCGAAACCCAGGGCCGTAGAGCTCATGACGAGCACGCGCAAGCTCCGCGTCAGCGCCCAGAGCAACAGAGAAAGCTGCAACGGATTGACGGTGGCACTCCGTGGACACCTTCTTCGTACCGACGGTAAAGCAGCGACACATGGTCAATGTGAGAATGGGGCCAGAGTGCAAAGTAGTTCACCTGATTGATGTTCATCAGGCCAGGATTCTAGGACGAGATGTCTCATATAACCTTTTTCAGTACGGGGGCTCTAATAGAAGAGGGCTTCTAAAAGATGTCAATGTCTCAAAAAAACGGGGGGTTCAAATGCAAGGAAAAACTGTTAGGGCGAGGTCGATGTATTAAAAAGCGATTAGCTAGCAGAGATAAAAAATACGAAGGGTCGATGTGACGGGGTCACACAGCACCTTGCGCTAGAGTAAGTTGGCTTCCGAGAGCTTACAAACTCTCAGTGAACGGCAGTTTACTGTCCCCTTTTATCGAAAAGGGACCTATTTAAGGTAGAATGTAAACTGTGTATATTTATAGGTAGATGAAGCTTGGGTTTTATATGTCAGACCATTCTTCTATAGAGGTTAGTGGATGAACGGGATAATACTACTTAAGTTTCTACCAGTAAAGGAATAACCCTGACAAACACCATTAACCCTTAGACAAACACCATTTACAAAAGAAAATCAAGGAAAGCTCCAGATTTCCTACAGAGCTATAGGTATACAAGAGCGAAGCGCTTTATAAATGCTTGCTACGGTGCAGGATATCCTAAGGCGCTCCGCCAAAAAATCTAAGAAGCGCACTATTAAAGGCCCATGGCTACTTGTAAGTCAGCGAAACTCAACACTACACGATTCTTTTGAATTGTGTCAGCGTACGATTTGTTGGTCTAGCTCGCATTCAAAAACGCCTACACTTGCTTTAGTATGGGCAATTGTCGCCTCATTCAGGGTGATCGATGTATCACTCTTATTAAGCCACCGCCTAGCAAAGCTGAGGCGTAATATGGCTTCGTGATATATAACAATACATCTCCGCTGTAACTACCTGAGCGAGGCATACCGTATTCTCTTGGTCCAGCTCACGACATTGCAATTCTATGAGGGTCTACAGGCTGTAGTACATCGAGACCTTTGGATCATTTTTTGAGTACATCAAAAAGCACTATTTCTAAATTTGGGTACCTCGAGCTCCCTAAGCTCGAGCTTTACAGAAACAATAATTGCTCGTCACAATAGTAATTATTATTGGGACAAAGTGTATTTTGTGTAAAATAGATGTGGCAGTTCTCAGCACTCGCTGCCTATCATCAAACCACCGTCCAGAACTCCCAGAGCTGCCAAGATGTTCATGCTCAAGAAGAAGAAACCGCAGGTGGACAGCACTAAGCAGATGAAGGCCATTGCCTGGGACCTGTCCAAGATCGCTCTCGTCTTCGTCGGCATACGCGCTGCATCAGTTTTCCTCAACCAGGACAACTAGGTAGCTCTCGATGAGAGTTTCGGGCTGGGACGCCTTGTCGCCTCCTCACTGAGCGCAGACAAAAGCAAGAAGCACCTACAACACAGACGATGACACTAAATAGATGCTTAGGACAACGCATACTTGTAATAAGACAATAGGCTTCCGGCTCGTAAGTTTAACCATGGGAGGAAACAAGTGGTTGTGGTTTGTTTGCATATATTCAATCGGCTCCAAGCAATCTTCTATGATCGGTCTACTCTTCCTGGTCCTCTTCCTCCTCCTCTTCATCGCCCATTTCCTCGTCCTCATCCACCTGTGTGAACGACTCTAACGCGACGTTGCATTTTTCAGCAAGCACATTGAGGGCTTCCAGCAGCAACTCCTCGGGCTTAATCATTCCTACAGATTCGACGCTAAAGATAAAGTGGTCGCTCTGACGCCCCAGACGAATCTTCTCGTTCCAGCTAGGCTCACGAATACAGTTCCGGCACATAGTGCAGGCGCGCTGGTCCTTCACCACAGCAGTAGGGACACCGCCAATATCTTCAATATCGAACAGGCCGATATGGCACTCCTCCACGAGGCGTTTTGCGTCAGTGCCCTCTACCTTCTCCATAAGCTCCACCTTGGGCATCAAACGGTATGATGCTGTCGCGACGGGAGAGAACTTAGCGTGGTCCTTACCCACGCCCTTGCGGCAGTGGGCTTCCAATGCGATGCTCTGACCAGGCCGCAGCTTTGCCATCAGAATGTCTTCGTGTACGGGGCGAATGGAGCCGAATCGCTCCTCCTGGTTTCCCTGTGGTACCCATTCTAGGTCACGCGAGTACACTGCAAAAAAGAACGCAAAGAAAATAGTGTTAGTGCGTTAATCGGTAGATCGCAACAGCAAAAACAAGCGTACCAGAAGAGTGAATGGCCTTGGTTGGGTCTTTCGGGTGTTCAGGGTCAAACTTGCATGTGACGTCGAGCTTGAAAACGATTGTGTTCTCGTCAGTGGCCTCCGCCTCTTCGTTGTCCGGGAAAGGCCTGAAACTCACGCGGGTCCACATTGAGCGGAATGAGGCCTAGTCGATGGGCTAGCACCTCATCCTGAATAATTGACGAGTTGTTCCAGATGTATACGTGCTCAATGGCCATAGGTGGGACCTTCAGCCAGCAAAATGCGGCGCAATGCGTTGGCGATGGCAGCGTCCACACCAATGAGGTCAAACACAATCTCGTCGTCCGTCAGGCTCTGAATTTTGACCTTCACCTGGCGCTTGGACTGCTCCACGAAGCTGTAGCTGCTCTCGCTCTCCACATCAGGCTTGGTTGGCAATTTAAAAGGTCAGATGCGATGACGAAGCATGACGGCACAGCGATAGCAAGACAGTTTCTTACCTGGTGCGGCGCATCTTGGCCCACGCGGACGACTTTGGACGCCTTGGCCATATTGGTCTCGCGGGCAACAGCTATTATTCAGCGATGGATTGGCGCGATGAACAGACACAAAGCCGAAGCGATGGCCAGCCATTCGAATCGTACTTAAATCGAAACATACGATAAGTGCAAACGATCCAATATTGCGGTGGTGCTGCCACAATCCGCTCTGAAAAAGATAACCATTTCAAATTATATTACAGCCTACCCAACAAAATACCCCCTCTATGCCGATCACTTTTTGGATTTCGAATCTCCCGCGCTTTCCCGACCAGACTGGCTCCCGCTCCCAGCTTTCATTTTAAAAGCTGGCACCTGGGGGAGATCACAGACAGTGAGCGCCAGGCCGTCTGGGAGTCCTTACTGCTTCGCAGCGTGGGAGGAGTGCTCAAACATGGAGAGATCGTTCGGGTTGCAGCGTACTTCCGTGTGGGCCGCCAAGTTGTCGAACGAATTTGGAGGCGTGGAATCAATTCGATGGGAGGTCGAGTAGCAGCCGTGGTCAAGTCAAGGAAGAGCGCATGTGGTAGGAAGAAGGTCAATCGAGCTGAGCTGTGCGAGAGAATCGCTGCAGTTCCTGTCAATGAGCGCGAAACCCAGCGTCTGCTTCAGCGCGCGTCCAACATGAGCTGCTACCTGGTTCAGCAGCTGATCAAGGAAGGCTACATACGGCGTGCGCTCAGACAGACCCGTCCACTACTTACACCCACGCACAAGTTGGTGCGCCTCCGGTTTTGTGTGGACCACGTTCGACCTAACGGAAGGGGGGATTACGTGTTTGATCCAATGTTTGACGTCGTGCATATTGACGAGAAGTGGTTCTACATTAAGAAGATTGGGCAGAGTATTTACTTACTGAATGGGAAAGATGAAGTACCGCTCGAGGATCCTCCTGTTCAGTTCGTGCAGAGCAAACGCTATATCATGAAGGTGATGTTTTTGTGTGCTGTTGCGCGACCCCGAGGAAACTGGGATGGCAGTCTCTGGCCTGTTGTAGAGCGCTACATCACTCAAAGGGCAAGTGTGAATCGCCCTGCTGGCGTGGAAGAACTGCGACCTGTCTCAATAACAAGGGATATTTCACGTCAGATGCTGGTGAACGACGTAATTCCTGCTATCAAAGCAAAGTGGCCGCAAGAGCAGAAGGGTGTTGCCATTCGCATCCAACAAGATAACGCTCGGCCCCACGTCCAAGAGGATGATGACTACGTTAACGCGGCAGGGTCCTCGGATTGGCTGGAACATCGCGCTGCGGAACCAGCCTGCACAAAGTCCTGATTTCAACTGCCTAGACCTGGGCTTTTTTGCCAGCATTCAATCGCTGCAGTCGCAGACAATACCACGAACACCCCAAGGCCTCATCAGGGAAGTGGAGAAAGCTTTTGGAGAAACTACAGCGGACACGCTTACCAAAACGTTCTTGACTCTGCAACACGTCATGGAGCAGGTTATGAACTGCAAAGGTGATAATCATTACCGTCTCGGACACTTGCACAAGGACAAGCAAGTACGAGCTGGCACTCTCCCTACGTCACTGCCTTGTGACGCTATCTCACTCGCCAATGCTAACGCGTACATGCTGCTTCTTGCAGCGAGCAGCCCCCCCACCGCCTACCGCTGGAGTTCCAGAAGCCCCAATGAGCGCACCCTTCAGAATGTGGCGATGTAGTTGCCGTCTTAGATCCGGAA